GGGGTTTGTTATATATAGGTTGTAACCTGAGAGGTAGGCTGGGTCACTGGCTCACTGCTACTGACCACATGCATGTGATCATCCTCCAAAATGCAACGCACAATAAATCTGAACCATTCCTATAGCACTGCCTCAGGAAAAGTGGGCAATTTATTTTGGAGCTGAGCTATTTGACCCTGCTGTAGCTTTTCTAAGAACTGCGTTACATCAGCTGTTGGTTTTCGGATGAGGAGCTACACAACTGTGTTTTCATGGTCTGTTCTTCTGTTGATGGTTGTATGTAAGTCTAAAGTGACATAAGATTTACTACTAATTGTATTTGGTGAAATTATTGCAAGCACAATGACAGTGATTGAATATTGTAAGCTGGCTTTTTAAAGTCCAACTCCAATATTTCTAGAACATTTTATGGCAGAGCTGTAGGCTTAACACTTAATACTTGGACTCAAGTCAGACTTAAATTTTAAAACATGCTTGATACTTCACGTCACAGTACTTGATTGCTATGAAACTTGAATCACTTAAGACTCAATATAACTCTTCCTAAAGACTTGATTTGGATTAGGACTTGAGTCAGACTTAAGCCCTGAAAAAGTACTTAACTTCGACTTGACTGCTGTAGACTCAACTCACTACAATCTTAACTTGACTCGAAACGTGTCTCCTTAAAGACTCAATTTGACTTGAGATTTGTCTACTAAAGAGTTGACTTGACTTGAGAATTGACTTCCTAAAGACTCGATATAACTCAAGATTTGTCTCCATAAAGATTCTATTTGAATTGAAACTTGTTACCCTAAAGACTCAACTTGGATTTGAGTCAGACTTGCTTCACAAAAATTATTTGATACTTGACTAGTACTTGATTGCTATGAAACATGACTCACTTAAGACTCATGACTTGAGAGTTGTCTCCCTGAAGACTCGACTAGGATTAAGACTTGGACTCAGATTTAAGCCATGAAAAAGTACTTCATATTTGACTGCTGTAGACTTGACTCAACTTGACCCGAAATGTGTCTCCTTAAAGACTTGATTTGACTTGAGACTTGCGTCCATAAAGACTGATTCGAGAATAGTCTCCTACAGATACGACTTGACTCGAGACTTGTCTTCCTAAAGACTCAACTTAGATTAAAGTTAAACTAAAGTCAAGAAAAAGTACTTTGTACTTGACATGAACATGTCATAGACTAACCTCACTAGAGATTTGACTTGACTGAAAACCTGTACACCAAAAGAGTCTCCTCTCTAGAGACTACTCATGACTTGTCAATCTAAAGACTCAACTTGGATTTGAGTTAGACTTACAAAAAAGTCACAAAAGAGTACTTGATGTGGACTGCTGTGAGACTCACCAGAGAATTGACTCTAAACAACATCAACTTAAAGACTTGACTTGGCAACTTTTTGACGCCTGGCAAGACTCAACTTCTTTCATGATTTATCACCTAAAAGACTCAAAGACTCCCTAAAGAATCAACTTGAATCAAAACTAAAGGCTCCACTTGAGATCTTTCATTCTAAAAAATAAACTTGACTTGAGACTTAACCTGACTTTATTTGACATAATTCTTGCTGAAGACTAGACTTGGCTCCCTAAAGACATGACTTAACTCAAGTCTTGTCAAACTTGTCTTGACTTGAAGGTCCTCTCTGTAAAAAGTGGACAAGACTAAAGACTTGCCGCCCTGAAGATGCAACTTGATTTGAAACTTCACTTGCTGACGGCTCGACTTACGCTGAGACTTGTGACCTGAAAGACTGACTTGAAACCTGAAAGCAAAAAATTTTCAAGTAAAAACTTTTGACAATCAGAAGAATAAATAAAAAATAATGGCAGTGCCACAAAGGCCTAGTTACTAATTTAATGGGACCACTTTGAAAAGGGTTAGGGTTTGTTGTATATTGGCAGTTATTGGCCAAAAAATAACTATGGCCCTCAAACCCATATGTGGGATTTGACAATTTCTGACTTTGGCAGACAACAATGAAAAGCTGAATAGACACATAGGCAGATAGACTAAACCTGTTTTAATTTTTTTTTAATAAAATCCAGTTTATGCCCTCAGAATAATTAGAAAATTGAAAATTGAAATAAAAACTGTGAGAGCTCTCAATTTTGGCATGAAGGAGTTTTGGTATCATGAGCACCACCATTCAAAGGCAGCTACTGTTTGTGGTGGTAGTACAGTGAATATCGGTTAATCAGTGAGTTTTAGTCCGCTGTTTGACTGTCCCCACTCTTACTTGTCCAGCAGCTCCAGGAGCCATTATTTAGAGATGCAAAGACACGTCTGCTCAACTGAGGAGGATGTATTGATATGTGTGAGCTCAGCTGTAACCCCGAAAACGACACATAAACCACACACATTAAAGAAAGAGGGAGGAAAGGAGATTCATTTAGATAGAAATTGCTATAACAAACCATGAAGCTGCAGCTAGGGCGTTTGGGGCTCACTTAGTCCTGCACAAGCACATGCACCACATCCGGTGGTCCTGTTTAAGGTCCTGCAGCAAAAACACTGTGTTTACCTAACAATTAGGATAATTAGTAGCTCTGTAAAGTAATCCTTCAGCGTGGGCCCACGGTGCATATTAATGTTCATATGGTTTCATTTTAATGCAGCTGAGCTGCGGCTCAACAGGGCCTTCAGAGGTGTACGTGTTTCTCCCTGCTGAATGTCAGCACCCCGAGGCTCCAGTAATACCCCAACTCTAATTTGACAGCTCCCACGGGGAGGAAGTTCTTCACAATACACTTCATACTACATAGATTAGTGCATGTTTGTGCTGTGGATGGGTGTTCAAACGCTAGATGGTGAATCTTTCAGATTTTTATTTTATTTTTTTACTTTAACTGCTGTTGACATCCCTTAATCTGGCTGCGTGATTCAAACCATATGGGATTATGAAAGCTAACACCAGCACAAGTATTTTCAGATGATGGTGAAAATAACAGCAGTGTCTTTTTCTTTTGTTCAAATGAATATTTGGCATAAAAGTTTTTGTCCATTCTGGGCTACTGTAGAAACATGGCAGTTGAACATGGCGGACTCCGTAGAAAAGGACCTGCTCCCTCTGTAGATAAATACAGCTCATTTTAAGGTAACGAAAATACACAGGGATTCTTATTTTCAGGTGATTATACAGTAATGAAAACATACCTATGGATATTATGTTTCATTTCTGCCAATAGATCTTTCTAAAATACTTTTTGTACATAAAATCAACACCACACTGAGTAAAATGATTGTTTTTGTTACACTACTGTACATATGCAAAATGTACACAGTAGAATGAACCATGAGATGCACCTCAAGACACCTCAATGATTCCTAAAGTCCAAAATATGCTTATTGTTAACTCACAAGTCAGTCTCTAAACACTTTGTTCAGAGACTGAGGACTTTGTCCAAGCTTTTTCCTAGAATGGGGTGAGAAAATGGTGTGTTGATGTGGTTTCAAGTAAGGGCTGTCAGTTTTAGTTAGTGGCCGTTCTCGCCGCCGTTACTTACGTTGGAGCTATGAGTTTTTCACTGTAACTCATACATAAGTGTAATATAAAAATCTGAAGCCCCAGGATCACATACACTCAGAGAGTGAAGTAGGAGACATCTTGTGTCCCATCCATCCACCCCAATCACCACCTTACACAGTATGGACTTTACACTATGTCACCTGATGCACATGGATTACATTGGAGTTAGGTGACAGCTTACTGCATCTCACACAGATACCAAAGGGTACTGTGTGCGTCTGTATGGAGATGCCGAGGGCAAAACATCGGTAATTGACTCCCTGGGAATAAGAAGGGCCTGCCACCACGCTTTTCAGTCTCTGAAAGAAAGATCATAAGTGTATTCAGGGGTGTTTCTAAGCTTTTTTGACTGGCAAAAGATTTGAGCACAAGTGGGGCACTGACTTATGCAGGGGTGGCACGAAGTATGTGTCTCAGCTTTCCAGTTATTCCCAATTTATGCAAGTTTCATATGATACCAGTATCTTCACTCTAGCTTCAAAACAAAGCTCGCTACAGCCTCTGAAAGACAGTGCAGAGTCCATGATGATCAGGTGGCACTTGGGGCAGCCAATCAGATTTCAGGGCCCTGAGTGCATTACCCAAGTTTGTTGGTGAACCATTGCTGACTTACTCAAAATGCTCCATAACCCAGACAAACACGCTTTGACATCATAATAATGACAGTCCTGTTTGGATTAATAGGATCAAAACTAATAATTTTAGAACAATTTTGGCAGTTTATTTTTGAAGTGCATATTGGTGGCTGTAATAAAGTTGCTGAGTGTAATAAAAGAAGACAGGAATCAGTAAAAATGTATGAAGTGATTTCTTTTATACTACATGTTGGGCTTCCTGTTATTGCAGTTTTGGGCATACTGTTATTGGAATAAGAAGCCAGTGTATGGTTTATGAAGCTTATTATAGACCCTTGGCTTTTGTTTAATAAATGTTTTGCTTCTAAAGTGGCACTTGAGCATGACCTTTTATGGCTGTATGCTTCTTTAATGAGTTTTGAAAAGTCACATTTCCAAATGCAGAACTGTAATAAAGAGCCGACAATGGCCTTTGTTGTGGTGCTGAGACTCAACTCAATATTTCTCACTTTGTTTTAAATACAGCCTATGAGAAGGAGGAAAGTGGAGTGAGCTCATTAATATCACAAACATTTTTAGATTAATTCAGCATTTGTCCACTTCCTCCAATCAGTTGGTAACTTTGTCCCATCAGTAAGCAGGAACATCCTCCGTTTTAAAGCTGCAGTAGGTCATTTTTATGAAAATTACTTTTTTTTCATTAGGAGCACTAGGAGAAGCCAGAGGAACCTGATTTTTTTTTCACAGATTATCTGTCTCATGATATATTGAAAGTTTCA